AACAATGTTTTATTTGACACGATGACACACATTAAATTGTCTTTTGTTTCAGATTTGTATGCAGTACTCGCGATGTGATAATTTTTTTTAATTCGTTACTTTTTGGTATGGCGCTATTTTAAGAATTCTAGGAATTTAAGACATAAACGACTTAAATTTTCGTGTTTTCCTCAAATAAAAACTGCAAATCTTAGTGTTTTATTAAACCGCTTGAGAAACGACCCATAAAATTTATGTGCATGACTTAGGTAAATAACATTAGCTAATAATAAAATAATTATACTACCTTGCCATATATTATTTTAACTTGAAAACAAATTCAGTAAGCAATTATAATTCGCCTTAATTGTAAGTTAAAAAATCACGTTATCATTTAATCTATCGACAAATGACATGACGTTAAAGTTAACCTCTATATTTTACCACAGTTTTTGTGGGTGTTCTTTGAGGTTAGATAAAAACGGTTAATTCGCCGAATGGTTTTTGCGATGTAAAACGGCCGCCGATGGCGCTCGTGTGCAACAATAGCAAAGGTGTCATTAATCATTTGATTCTACGCAAATCATCCCGCGAATAAACTTCGACATCTCAATAAAAAACTCTGACGTCCATAAATCTAATAACCAGTGCGCAGTTTTTACTGAACGATATACGTGAGTCCGTTCAATTGAAACCCGTAGTTTGATCGGCTTGACCGATTTTGAGTTTGGATTCAAATTTTATTGCTATCTGCAAGAGAGATTTTTTAATCCCTTTTCAGTACTTAATATATTTTTAATTCCTTTATTAAACAAAATATGGACTTAGTAAGTAATTTAGAACTTTAAAATTACGCTCCGAAACTAATTCTACAGCGAAGCCGATGCATTCTACCTTACTCGTAACTTCAGTTCAATAATTCTGACTAGAATGTTGCATCCCGGACACCCCGGACATCCCGGACATCATATATTACTATAGAGATTGGCGAGTAAATCTGTGTAGTTAATGTAAACGCGGAACCAACAAGTATCGTGTTCAACGCTGTAGGAAGTAATTTACGCCTTAACCAAATTCACGTTGCCCGTTACTGAGGAGCGATTACCAAAAAATTCCATACATACGCGACCGGCAGGTTAACTATTTTATAAACGTTAAATGAAACCAGTTATTTAAATATATACCGAATTTAAATAGACTTTATGAGTTAAAAAATAACTACGTTACTGTGTTAGATCAAAGCTTGCGTTACATCCACACTTTACAGGAGTTGTACGAAGTGACAAGTAATTGTACATTCCGTATGCGAATCTCGTATCATCTCGCAGTAATGCGAAAATCTAAGAACAGTATAAATAAGTTCATTCGGGGAAGGCTGTGTAAATACCCCGAACAATGAATAAAACATTGTCAATAATCGTTTAGGAAAATCGAGCAATCGCCTACTGGCTGGTAATTTATATTGATGTTACAAATAGAATTACAGTTTTCAACCGAAAATTATAAACTGTATGAAGTGTAAAGGAAACGGAAATAAACTCCTCACTCGTGTACTTAATAGCTGAAAGTAACTGGGCGCAGTTCATTATGTTGTCATGATATTTCTATAATGTTACATAGAAAAGGGTTTTAGAAGTACAAGTTGGCAGAAGCAACAAACAGATGCTGTACATAAATTATATAAACATGTTGTCTTTATGTAAATGCGAGTGAACAACCAACCGCTCACTTAAACTTGCAAATTTACAACAAAACCGCAAAAAGTTTTCCTACATCCTGATCAGATATTTATTATAAATATATTACGCAAGACCAGACACACTATAAATCAGGTTATGTTACTTGTCAATTGTTTATGTTCTCAAAACAATAAAAAAGTACACCAGTATAAATGTAAAATAGGTTAATGTAAATATTGTTTATTTTTCATGTCTAAACGAAGTCAACATATGCAGAAAAATATCAGGAATCTCCATTATCTAAATATAAAATCTCAGCTTGTACTTCTTAAATGGCATTTGTGGTTTTTTAGTATTCTAATGTGCAATGTATCAGAAACACGAATATTTATACTTCGCGGTACTGAAACAAGGAATTATATCAATAACGTTGCATTTACGAGAACTATTTGCATACTTGTCTCAGAGTTAATAGTCATTAGTTGATTTGTATTAATTAATAACGGTAGATAATACGTCGACCACCACGTTGGTTATAAAACTAATTTAACGTCGACAATAAGAAGTTAACTCCGACTTTCTACTTCAGACATCTAGAATACAAGTTTTACTTGTACTTTTTTCTGGCAGATTAACAAAATCAAGCGTTTAATTATATGTAATGATAGCGACTGCTAAAAGGTTAAGGATCAGTGAATGTCCGGTAAAAATATAACTTAAATTCAGGAAGAGACAGCCTGATAATACAGGAAGTTAAGATAAGAAAATTCAATATACAGTGCACTTACAAGAATAATGTTACGAATATAAGTAAAAAATATGCTCCAAAATTAGATTTGACGTCAAGAAGTATATTGCTCATAAATGTGTTAAAACTTGCTCACAAAACAAACACGGGAAATACTAAAAAGCTAGAATTGGATGCAACAATTTAGATGTTAAAACTTAGTACGAGTTAGCAGATTAGTTTAATTAACACTAATTATGTTACGTATTTTCCAGTAACCTTTGCACTGTAAAATTATTATTACATTACTATTTTTAAAATGTAATATTCGGGTTATAGTAAGAAGATTTACTAAAACACCGGAATTTAACTTTAAAAAAGACAAAAGCAAAAGGAATTCTATTAAAATCTTTCTTTTTTAAAAATAAGCAGAATAACGTTGTAGAAAACAGAAACTAAAAGATTACAAAACCCTTAAGTATGTCTCCTTGAGCATTGCTGTCACTACAAAAACATTTGAATGCTATAAAACAAACTATTATTTGCAATTAAAAAACTATTAGTAAATCTTAATATAGCATTTTAAAAACATTGCGGTTTTTAAATTGGCTCTAGAAATTTCTGGCGCGGAAGTTCCAAGTTAATAAATGATATTAAACAGCTCGGTTAAATGTGATGCCGGTTCAATGCCGTGCAGTTAAACTCTGATACTGGTTATGAATTAATTTCTGCCAAAATATTATTTAACTGCAACTATCCATATAATTTTTAAGACCTTCGAATGTCAAAGTATGACTGAGTCGTGATACTTTTTTATTACTTAAATTATTTTATAGCAGTAAACTGTTCCGACGTTTTAACTCTTTCAGAATATAAATACAAGCTCTTTGTTTTAATTATTGTCTCAATAAAGGGTTTTTCGAACACCAAATAGAATTAAAATTCTTTCCTCTATAGACCAAAGATTACGAAAGGTCAATTATTATCGCGGTATAAACAATAGGAGTCAAGCAGAGGTAGATGAGATGTCTCAATCGCAAGCTACATCGTTCAATGTCACCGTTATTACCGCCCAAGGTAATATTAAATTTCTAGGCAGATTTCTAATTACCAGATACTCGCGACGCTGTCTCGAACGTGAGGGAAAACTCGATTGAAACAAGATAACTGCACTTCAAATTACAAACGACCGCGCGACTGAGCGCTCGATCCATCCGATACGTGAAAAATGAAAACAGTAAAAGTGGAAATGATTACAAAGATAATCAAAGGTTTTCACTTTAAATGAGTATTTAAATACATGTATTATGTGTAAATGACCTTTGCAACATACATATATTTAAATTCTTAAATCATTTTAATAATATCTGCATCATTTTTCAATACGCGTATGTACAAAAGAGTTCAACGAACGGAGTACATTTGGCAATCAAGTAAATTTCTAACAAAAGTATCAACAACCTTATTATTTCAGCTATTATTTTACATTCCAGTCCTTTACTGCATACGATTGCTAGACTGGAGTAATGAGAACTGGATTTTATAACAAAACCGAAACGAAGTTCGAAAATTTAATTCTCCGTAGCGTCCGGCTGAGAGTTCCCTTTGTCCGTTACGATGGACATTAGAAAAATAAGAAGATTTATCCACAATCCTAAGACCATTTTAGTACAACGTTTATGCTTTTATGAATAATGTAACGACATCGCATATTCATTATACCTTGTAAGGCTTGCACTGGGAAATGGCGAATTAACAACTCATTTGAATCTAGACACGACAAAGAAAAAACCCTAACAATTACGATAGTTAATATGTCGAAAGAAAACTGAGAATGTTAAAAAAAACCTAAAAAAACACATCTAAATAGAAGATGTGATAGGATAGTTTTTCTGATTCTAGTAATTTAAGAAAACTCCTTATATTAGTAAAAGTTAGCTAAAGCCGTCCGTGTAAAAATTCGACTTAACATAGTATATTTTAAACACACAAATACATTTGTTTTTGTTACAAATATAATGTTTTTTAATATATTAATTATTCGTATAACTAACTATGTTTTTTCCGTAGTGTTTTGAGTGAACTACATACTAAGGAGTTCCGCTTCCGTACAGATCTTATTATGTTTAAAATAATATTAACATACTTATAGATTATCAAAATAATTTTAAAAAAGGAATTTTATACTTAGACAAATCAAATATCTCAATTTTGTTTCAATCTTAAATTAAGCTACAAAACATACAATAGATAATAAAGTTGTTATTGATTAGTTTTTTGATCGTGTTTTTTTAATCTGTTCAGTAAGAAAATACTTTATTCCAATTGTCACAAAACTTATTGCATAAAATATATTTTATTAACGTCATAAATATCAATAAAACATACAAGTATTATGTTGTTCTTTCCTAAGTCGTGACTTTTAATGAAAAATGAAAATGAAAGATATAACTTACAAACGTTCAGTAATTTCTCAAAATGTAATATAGATATCTGTAGATATAATGAAATTATTAGTAAGTATAATTTTACTTAACTTTCCTGGCCAATATTGGACGTAAACTAGCAACCGGCCGAAAACTCGTAAAAACAAATTAAAAACGTTAAAAACTTACATTTAGGCTGTCTGGCAATTTGTCCCTTTTTTCGCCTTTCAAATAATCTGTTGATTATCGCATCCTTTTTATCACCAAAGTCAAACTCCTCCGTAAACTTATTTAGTCCCTCGCACTCTGAATAATTCTGTTCAAAATTAGACGCATCGATGTCCGCCCTCTTTAGCCTGTTGTGTGACAGGTCCCTTAATTCCTTTTCAGCAGTATTCACTGTCGCGTACTGCTTGCCAGCAAACTTGTTCCATATCTGAGATAAATCCTTCATTTTGCACAACTCACTGCAGTCTGAGGTAAAGGGTATACTGACGTTTTTACGACTAATCGGTGTAATACGATTTTAATTGCACTGCCTATCCATAGAAGGTTCTATCAGTCGACATTCCAGATTACAAATATTGTTTATTCAAATCTTATATTATTTAAAAGTTCAATAGCCTCTGACTATTTAACGTTAGTAATGTATATATTACAACGTTAAAAACTTCATAACAAACTCAGTCACATAATTTCTCAATAATCACTCATAAGAATTCACTTTTCATGTAAAAAGAATAAAAACATGCAGTAAAAATGTCATATAGTTTTCGGCGCGCAAATCGAAATTCGCGCCTCTTCGCGCACAGAATATAAATATTGTTTTTTTTAAAACAATATGTCCGCGGCGGTCAGTCGCTCGGCCATCTAATGAGATCTCGCTTTACATTTCTTGTGCTTATATAAAATTTCGCAACGCACACCCATGTAAGTCGCAGCAGTGTGCGTGCGTCTATACACAACCAGTTTTTTTTTTTATAAATTAGATTCCCTGTGAAATGGCGAGGGTATCGATTAGCGATGTACTTTTCCATGGTATATATTTCTTTTTTATTAATGACGTCATACAAAATGAGTTAGCATAAAAAGAATGTGGGTTATTCCAAGTCTAGTGCAATTTCACTACACAAAAATGTTGCGAATTGGTAGTAATTGATGTCAGCAAAAGGAATGATGATAACGCTTTTTCTCTTTACTGTGTTAATTAATATTTAACAGGCGTTGTTGTTAACTGAAACGCGATCGTAGAACGGTAGCTACTATTTTTTGAGATGGCGATCATAAGGTGAAATATTGATTACAAAAATAATTTATTATTGTTTCATAAAACAATAGTGACTGTATTTAAAAAAAAAGAAAACGTGGAAAACAATGTATTTGAAAGTTGCAATTGCGTCGTACTAAAAGTCCAAAAATCATTTACGTTATTTACACGTTAGATTAAATGTAAATTTACTTTACGCATGGATCTTTAAATTTCAGCAAAACAAAAACAGATTATAGAAGAAAGATATAATCACTTTATTTTTTCCTCATCACTGAAAGCGAAAAGTCAAATATTCACCATATATACCATACATACATTCCAAAAAATGTACAGAAAAAACTATTTGTTAATGTTAATTTATAAAGTTAAATATTACAAAAGTAATTTTACATTTGTCAAAACGAATGTTCTCAATTGTTACTAGCCTACGTATAGGTAATACCAATCTTTGGAAAATTCAGAATGCGATCCAAAGTACGTCATTTTACCTTCCATATGTTGTGAGGAAGCGGAAACAAAACACAAACAATTAACTGTCGTAACCGAACACCGCTGTCGTTGACATTTCTGAAAAATCTTACTGAAAAGAAACACAAAACCCACGCACACAACCACAACGTACGCGACGCGACGCTGAGGCGTAGCTAAACCAAACCAAAACGGTTCGCATTCGAATTGTTAAACCTAATTTAGATATTTTCTACGCTAAGCTAACTTGAAAATAATCAATTCAGTTTAGTTCAGTACAGTTTCTTGTCTACGGCACCTCTTTAGCGGATTGGGCCAGTGGCGATTGTTTATGATTTTATTCTCGTTCGGAACAGTTAGAAACAGACTGGCAACAATACTCTGCATATTAAAAAGTTTCGTGATCTTAAAAATAATCAATTTAACAGAATTCTATAAGTTAATTCAAAATAAATTACCTATATTATGATTGCTCCGCTTATTCAAAATTCTTTTATTATTTTGACTATTTTCAGAGCTATTTAAATATATCTATGTAGTCTATCTATTTAAACATGTCAATGGTCATTTCTTTCAACTTTAGTTACTAAATCCCCAAATCAAGTTATTTTCACAGAATTACACAATATTACCCTTTAACATTGTGAACTGTACTACCTTTATCATTATTTTGCTAAAAGCGTAAATTAAAAAAAAAACTAACTAACTACATTTCCGAAATAATAAAAAAGTATAAATCAAAACTACTTTATCTTTTGAAATGACTAAAGCCTCATATCTAAATAGACTTCAAAAATGATTTTAATTATCATTAATGTTTCTTGGATTATAAAGAAAAAATTCCATGAGGTGAATTTTTCATTAGTTTCAGAATATTGACAAAAAAACCTAAATAGTACGTCAGTGAAGGTAGCCACGAGTAGCAGAGCTATAGACAAGCGACGTCAGCGAATGACGAGCGAGCCTAGCCCGGCCGGTCTAGGGAATTCCGCATTTGTTCGCACCAATACATTAGGGTTGTCACTTCATAAAACTAATTTAAAATATTTAAAGTAAAAAAAATAATCTTTTTATTTTAACTCCAAAAAATAATTTCTCCTTGTCCTTGATTTGTCCTCGTTGTGTAAAAAGTTAAATTAATAGCGAGATTTTTAATTAAATTATTCAACTTAAATCTTCAGATTTCCGAGTCAGTGGGTTATATTTGTTATGTGAATTTGGTTCACCATCAGTCGTGTGAGGTTATTGGCCTCGGTAATCCCCAGCCAAGCCGACCCATTCGTATGAGTTTAAATTACCATGGCTCGTTTTACCACTTCAACTTTTAATCTTTTTGGTTTCCTGTGATGATACAACTCTTGTAATTCACATTTTTATTGATGTAAAAATATGCCTGCAATATAATAAGACTGCATAAGGCTAAAAGTCGTGTAATTGTATTTAATAAAAGATTTTATGTATAAAACTTAGCAGTTTTTATTTTATTTATCAGTTGTGTCAACCCTGGCTAGTTGAGTCATAATCTCACGACGTAGGTCGACGCAACTATAATCATTCGACTATATCAATAACTAGTTTACGTGTACCGTGACCGTGCGTAACGTGCTCCTACAACTATATGAATTCAGTTAATTAAACGACAGTCGGAATGCAATTATGTCCATGGAATTAGCCGCTTAAACGACCTTTATTACTGCGGAATAAAGTGACAGAACGTATTCACGCTCGCCATTGCCACACAGCGGGGTAAACAGAAGCAGATTATATCCCTAAGGTTCATAAGTTTTTTATTTTCTTGTTGAATCTTGTTGAATACACACGACCGAACAATTATCTCATACTTCATATTGAAATCATGCTTTGTGATTATTGATTACTGAACAAATGTAGTTTTTTACAACATTTATCAATGAACAATAGTAATTAATTGCTTGTAGAATGAACTTGATCACTCGAGAAAAAACAGATGGACATTGTTGTGGTAATTTTTGCAATTAAGATAATTTCTTGATGGTTATTAAGAAGATTTATTCTGTATCTACCTGGGGTTTTGTCTCTTTGCTATTTAATTACATCATATAACTATTATAAGAAGCAAACAAAGTACTTTGCCGCAATACGCAAGTACAGAAAATCCCAAACTGTTGTACTCGTAGTCCCTTGCCAGTCAACCCTTGCTGCAAAACGTGAACTCACAACTTTAGCTGCGAGAGGGAGGGAAGATAAAGAAAAGCCTTTTAACTATATGAAAATTACTTCAAATGTAACATTCAATTTAGTAAAAACATAACGGAATTGTATGCACACAAGAAATTTACTTTAGCAAGTCATCACTATATTAAAACCAATATGTAATGAGTATTCGTGATTTCCTGACAGACAATTTATATATTAAAAATAAACATTATTCCATCACACTATCTCCCCTCACTAATCACTCGCATTCATTCTGCGATCGCAAGAAACGTGAGTGTCGTTTGTCATTACATTCAACGACATCAAAGTCACCTTTTCTTTTGAAAGGAAACATAAGTTCAAAGGCCCTATATAAAAATCTTATTTTCTTTATCACATTCCATAGTACATAATTGTAATAACTATTACAATTACTGACGTTTACTGGTCGCTTTTGGTACATTTTGTTTGTGTAGTAATATGAAATAAGTTTAATTTCCTCGTCTAGATTTGCAGACGCCGGCGGCGGCGGCGGCAGAAGCGGGGGCAGAGGCGGGAGCAACGCAATTCCGTATTATGTTTTATTTATCAAGGTCCACTTTCTAATGCTTATATTTTTCAAGACCAATAACCTCAGGGTCATTCAATATATTGAACGCGAATTATGATCTAATATATCTAAATAGTTATAGAATTATCTAGAAATGTGTAATGACTTTAAAATTTATTACAACAGTCTGAATCTATATACATAGAATTCAACATCTATATTTGTACCACCGCAATACTTCTTGTTGCCGTTTACCTGAATATGGTCAATTGAAGATGCTCTAAGTCGCGAGGATTGGTTCCAAAATAAATAATAATCACTTAAAAATGTATTATAAACTTCGCATAGCATTGATTGCTGTTTTTTATTAAAGTTAGAAGCAAAGTAAATCATTATTTATTACATTCTAGAATAGTCTCGAGGACAAAAACAAAACGTCGACGGGTTATTGAAGTTTTTGTGTAGATGAATTACTCAAGCCAAGTTTTCCACAATTAATAATTACAATGCACTTGATCTTTATTGAGAGACAGGGTTTATAAATCTTGGAAAGTTACTAGTTAGATCTTGTGTCTTCGTCGGGGAAAACCTAAACCCTTTGCATTGCGACGCGATAAACATGTATTGTAGACAATGAATACGGATATTATTGTCATTTTGATATACGGCCGGAAACTTAAACGATATTTAAGAAATTAATAGTGACGTAAATGATAAGGCCGCGCTTAAACATTCATGAAAAAAGTTGTCTGTCAGCTTGTTAACGGTATTTAAAAATAGAATTGTTTAAAATTTGGTTCAGTAATCTGCTGTTAGTTACGTACTTACTAAGTTATTTTAAAGTGTGGTAATTCCATGTCCAAATTATGACTAAAACATGTATATACAACACAGGTGAAGTTATTTCAGTACTTGGTACTAGAGAGAAGAAGTGCTACGAGCGTTTGTAAATCGACACTGCTGCCCTCTATATAACATTTGGTCACAAACAAAATAGTATCGTTCACCGTAAGCTGCATAATATATCGAGGTTGCGATAATGCTTTGTCACATTAATAATCATTTGTAGTTTTAATAGTTTTTTGGTAAAGTAATGAGTGTGCGGTCACTTGTGTTGTCTTTCTGTCGGAAAATAAACAACAACAAGACGATTAGCTAACGAGGATAGGTAGCGTTATAATGACTTTATTCATTTGCTTAATTATTTTTTAAGAATAAAACCATTCCATTTACGTCGACGAATAAATGTTTTTATTTGTTGGTAGCTACTGTCAGCTTGTCAGATCCTCACTAAACACCGGAACCGTAATAATTACCTAACGTAACCTTCGCAAGAACAAATATTGCATAATGCAGCATAAAATATTATAATTATTAGATAAATTCATTAATCTG